CAAATACCATGTGCGAAGATCCAATCAAGAACAAAAAAGAAAAGAAGTAAAAAAGAAAAAACAAGAACAAAAAAGAAAAGAAGTAAAAATCAAAAGGAAAAGGGACAAATAGCACATGCAAAGATTCCCTAAAGACAAATGGCACATCAAGCTTCAAACTATGAGATTGATCAAGCACAATCATTCTTGAATCACTGAATCACTTCACTCGAAGATCATAGAGCATCAGGAGAAAGACACATTTTGAGCAAGACAAGATCGAGGGCATCAGAATGAATTGATCCTTGGTTCAATACCCTGAAACACTTATTTGGGTCTATTTATCATTTTCTTTCATAATCATGAGCCCTGGCCTACATTACGTGCCTTAAATGTCCCTTCTAATCATACATGGATTTCTAAACAGAAGAGACTATCTTCATATTTCATCCAGCCCATCAGGATTAATTTGCAAAAAAAACATTGTAATTAATGCATGGTAGAGAAAAATGACAAAGGGGAGTTCAAGACGTAAATCCTGAATAACGTCTTGAAACCAAAGGAGGGTTCGAGTTGAAAACCTGAAAAGGCGGCTCGAATATAAAAATTGTGCAGCTGAGGCAATCGCACAAATTCCTTGATAAGGCATCGCACAATCCGAGTGTGACCATGAAAGTTGGGAGTCAGAGAACACTTCCAGTAGAGGAGCCAGAGAACACTTCCAGTAGAGGAGCATGCAAGCTACCCCATCAAACCATTGAGCATCAAATGAACAAAAATGCCAAAGCTTTGACCAAACATAATGACCTGAGATTATTTTATCCTTTCCTTACTTAACCACTTCCCAAAAATAGCTTTGATCTTGGCACTTTTCAAATAGCTATAATTCATTGAAGGATTAACAATATAATTAATTCTTTGATATCCGATGAACTCTAGTTTTATGATTCGTCTCAATTGTAAAACTGTGAAAGTGACAATATTTTCAAAACTTTGGATCAAACATTTTTCAAAACTCTTTTAATTGATATTTTCATAACTTTGAAAATAAAAGAGAAAGAAAAACATTTCTTTTCAAACAAGAAAGTCTCTCTAGAGTGGATCTTGGTAAATGACAAGTGACTCTTAGACACAAAACTCATGCTCAATATCAATACTGAAGCAAGAAATGAGGAACATTTGGGGCATCTTTAAAGATTCAACATAAAATATTGGGGCAATTTTGGATATTGGGGCATCTTTGGAGATTCAACATCCTAATGCAAATTATTAGACCTTTTTCAGGAGATAAAACATAACCAAGTCATGTTACATGCATCTTATGCATACATTTTAGAGCATCATATTTATCATTTTCCACATACATAATTTTTGCAGCTTTTAGAGTCAAGTTTCGACTTCAAGACGAAGGATACTCGATTGAAAAGCACCTTTAGAGATTGATGTTGGTTGCTTAACTCAGCAGCAAGAAGCTACACTTCAACCAACTCGACAGATTGAAATATTGACATTCATATTCAGATTCGACATTTCCAATATAAATTTTGTCTCGCTTGAGACAGTCTCATTTAATGCAGATGATTATCTCAGTTGAGATTATTTTTTTAAACAGACTTAGTCTCACTTGAGACTGTTTTACTCGAAAGAAGATTTATTTCACTCAAGATTGTTTTTCTTAAAACAAATTTCGTCTCTCTTGAGACAGTTTCTTTTGGAACTACGTTTTGTCTCTCTTGAGACAGTTTCCCTTGAAACAAATTTTGTCTCCCTTGAGACAATTACTCTTGAAACACAAAATCTTCAAATTTATTTCTCTTAAAACAAAATTTTTCCCTTTAGACTGTTTCTCATGAAACAACATATATCTTTGAGATCGTTTCCCTTGAAACAAATTCTATCTCTTTCAAGACAACTTTTCTTGAAGCATCATCTGAACCGTTACACTCAGTTCATGCACATACCTGAGATGGTCGAGAAGCAATGTGCACATCATATTTGAACATTTGAAGAATTCAAGATCAGGGATCATAACTTCAAGATTCCAGAGTCCAGATTCCAGAAAAGCAACCGGAGATCGAGATTTCTCTCCTGAGCCCAAAAATAACATATGTTGCATATGCATTTTAGGCATACCTAAGAGCATTGCATTCATCTCATCACATATATGCATAACTTTTTCAGGTTTTAGCTAGAGTATATTTCAACTTCGCAGCAAAGGATATTGAGCTCAAAGCTGCACAATCAACTCGAGAGTAGATTTCAACTTCGCGGCGGAGGATATCTAGCTCGAAGCCAAACTTCACAATACTTGGATTTCAACTTCACGACGAAGGATATTCAAGTCAAGGCTCAACTGCACGACGAAGGGGTCATCCACGATTCAACTCCACGACGGAGAATATCGTTCCCACACATCCACAATTTCAACTCCACAACAGAGGATATCGCGCCACCCGAGACAACACAAGTTCAACTTCACAACGAAGGGACGACTGGTTGTCAACAAACAACTTCTCAATTTCAGAGCCAATTTCAACTTCACAGCGAAGGATATTGGACTCAAGACAACACAAGTTCAACTTCACAACGAAGGGACGGCTGGTTGTCAACAAACAATTTCCCAATTTCAGAGCCAATTTCAACTTCACAGCGAAGGGCATTGGACTCGAGACAGCACAAGTTCAACTTCACAACGGAGGGACGACTGGTTGTCAACAAACAATTTCCCAATTTCAGAACCAATTTCAACTTCACAACGAAGGATATTGGACTCGAGACAACACAAGTTCAACTTCACAACGAAGGGACGGCTGGTTGTCAACAAACAATTTCCCAGTTCCATAACCAATTTCAACTTCACGGCGGAGGATATTGGACTCGGAACAATACAACCTACTTGGATTTCAACTTCACGACAAAGGATATCCAATTCTCATGCTCAACTTCACGACGAAGGGGCCATATACATATACAACTTCACAACGAAGGGTATCATACCCCAACGGATTGACTCAACTTCACGATGAAGGGGTCATCTGTAACATCACAACACCAAAGTCTTCAGGTCAAGTTCCACCTTCACGACGAAGTATCTTGAGCCAAAAGACGATTCAGAGGCTACTTGTCAAAAGCTTTGAGCTCGTTTTCAACTTCACGACGAAGGATTTCGTGCTTTGAATTTTCCAATTTTGACTCAACCTCACAATGATTTCAACTCTACGACAGAGGATATTCGATATGGACAAAATTTGTGTCTTGTAATCTTTGCTCCATTTTTGTTACACGATAATGAGCAAAGAGGGGCAGCTGAAGACACCAGATTTTGTCCTGCCAACCGAGGAGTTTTCATGTAACCAAAAAAAAGAGTTGGATTAGGACTCAAATACTAGTCTAAAATAGAGTTGGAATTGGACTCAAATACTAGTCTAAAATAGGGTTTTTTAGTACTATAAATAAGCCTTGTAATTACCACACCAGGGGACACGATTATCATATGGGATTACGCACACAAACAAATACCCAAAGCAAATATGCAATAAGCCCAAAAGATTTGCTTGTAATTTTCAACAGAGAAATAAAAGAGATATTTTTACCTATATTGCTTCAATTCTCGCTTGCATGTGACTTGTTTCACTTCTTCTTTTCCGTTTTTACTTTGAAAGGGCCGATGAACACAAGGGAACCGAGATCTTTTCTCTTAGATCTACGCTTCCCCGAGGCTTATTTTGAAAAACCGGTTTCATTTTCGGTTAAAGGAGGGGAAGAGCTTTTTAAAAAACTATATTAGTTCCTTTATTTATTATATGGATATTTTATTCATTTATTTTTATTATTCATGTTATTATTATACGTATATATATATATATTTTAAATTATTTCATTTGATTTTTTACTATATTTTTATTATATATATATATATTCTTTAATATTTTACTTATAAGTATATTATTACTATATATTGTAATTATCTTTATCTAGTTATATATATTTTTTATACTTTTAATAGTTTATTTATATACCTATTATTAATATATATATATATATATATATATATTCTTAATTATTTTTATTTGATTATTTCTTTATTTACGTAATATATCTTATAACTTTATATATATATATATATATATATATATATTTATTTATTATTTTCATTTTTATTCATTATTATATTATTTTTAAAATATATATATATATATATATATATATATTATTATTTTCATTTTTTATTCATTATTATATTATTTTTAAAAAAAATCTTGTGTCTTTATCATTATTATTATTAAACATTATATTATATACTACTAACTTAAAGGGCCCATTTTTTTATTTTATTTTTAACTAAAGTCTCCCACTTTCCTCTTTTTGTCTTATTTCTGACTAAAGCCCCCCACTTTCGGTGAAGTGAGAGGGTAACTTTTGTATTTTTAAATATTTGTTGTATATATATATAGCTTATTTATTTTTTTAATACTTTGATGTATATATATATATATATATATTTTCCCTTTTTCAAATATTACTATATATAATTATTACTTTACTATTTTTTTCTTTATCTTATTTATTTATTTTATTTATTTTATTTTTTTCTTTTATTATATTCTCTTTATCTTATTTCTTTTATTTACCTTGTTTATCTAACACATTTATCGATTTTTTAAAGATATTTTCAAATTAATCTAAGGTAAGTAATCAAGATCAAATTTTACCTTTTTATTTAAAATTACAATTTTCTTAATTTAAGATAACTGAAAATTATGTGGTACCGAAAGGGCGGTTCAAAGGTGCTAATCCTTCCTTGACCGTAACCGACTCCCGAACTCAACACGTTTCTGGTACAACGCAGATAAGGTAAAGTGGTGTCCGACCCACCTAAATTCGTTTTAAAGTGGTCGGTGGCGACTCCAATCCACATTTTCCTAAGTCAAAGCCCAATTCCGGGGCCCAACCGAAAGACGGTTGGGACACACTTTCAATCATTCAATTATATCTTTTCTTACGATGTCAATTGAGTTTACCATCATTCAGTAAAGAACAAATGTTGCACCGCCACTTTCTTCCAGCATCTGTAAATGTGACATAGGGATTCACATAAGTGCGGCATCTTTTACAATGAATAATACCGGTTGAAACGAAATTAATTACTGGTACTTCCTCCTGAACATAAAACAACAATAATTAACAGGAAAAAGCCATAAGTCTTCAAGAAAATACAGTTACTAAACACCTAGAAGTAAATCATTATTGATTCTTGGTATACTTACCCCTTCAGGAGCCTTTGCAAAAGGACAAACAACTGCTCCAAGAGGCAAATGCCATCTTGAAACTAAAGACTGGGAATTTGGTATAGCAGTTGTAGTAAGCAGTAGGTATCTTGGATCACAATTCATGGGATACATATCAAGAAAAGAACTTGGCACCACATCACCATCCAACGGCCTAGGAAGTGATCTATTATCAAGTCCTGGATCATTTGTTCCAGGAATAGATGCAACAGTGAGTGAACTAAAATCTTATGTCAATCTTTGGACGCCGCCAGTAGGAGGTGCAGAGCCTGGATGTTGCATTTGGTCCCTTGATTGGTAGCCCAAGTTAGCTGCTACTGGTGGAGGAAGACCATGACTTCCTTGCTGACTAGGAAAGGGAGAAGGCGATGCAGGTAGAGGCATAAAACTTCCCTGTTGGGCAGGAAAAGGTGACGGTGCTTGTGAAACTACACGCTGATTGCTTAGATATCCAGGAAAAGGTGGCTGGAAATTAGGTCTAGGCCCTGATAACGATGAATCAGTTGGAGGTTGAGGAACATTCAAACTGGATGGAGGAAATTTTGTATTTTGTGGCAGAGATCCCATTGGCACAGGCAGTACTTGTGTCTGTGGTCGAAAAGAAGGTGGTGGCACTGATACTTGACTTGCAGGAGGTTGAAATGGTGGCTTTCCTACAGGTGGTGCACGATTAGGGGGTGCTTGTGTAGTTGAAGGAAACGGTGGTGTTGGAAATCGCTGATAAGGCGCCCCAGAAGGTGGGATAGACGTTATGGGTGGAGAAGGGACTGATGGATCACTAAAACGAGATGGCGGCTAGGTCCGACTGCTGAGAAAGGCGACATAGTCGGGGGTGCACCAGGTGGCACAGGTCTAAAATTGTTGCTTTCTGATCCTGTTGCAGGACCAGATGGTGAAAAAGGTCCCACAGTTGGAGGAGCGGAAGCAAAAGGGGTAAAGGAAGGTCTCATGGGAAAATTTGGACGACCAGGGTTTTCAGTTCCCATTCTTATCAGTAATACGACTACGTTTTTTTTATTAATAGGCACTCTCACAACTCTGCCTGCCAGGAGAAGTAATACACAATAGTGAGCATTCACAAAAGAAAATAATGAAAGACCGGTAAATTTCAGCTGAATAACCCAGAAAAGGGATAATTTTTTCCAGACATCACCAATGATTCTTATCAAGAATCAAGCAGCACCAATACGCACTTAGAAAACCCAAATATTTCCAACTCACTTTGTTCTTAAACATTCTCATACTCATTAATTCCATGCATACAACAAAAAAGCGGGAGAAACAGTACAACGGCCTCCATAAGTGTACATCAAAATTTAACTAAGAATACCGCTGATTAAACCTGCACTTCTTTTGGCCACACACAATCCCCAAAAAAGATTAAAAAATCAACCAAATCCTTGAGTCTAAAGCAAAAGTGTTATAGAAAGCATAATCCGAGTTCATAAATTAACTTCCAAATAGAAGATACCTAAAATATGATTATTTAAAGATCACATATAACATAATTGAACTCGAAAAGTGTTTGGTTTCTTTATTTTATAAAAATTTTATTCAGTTTGATAAAAATTCAATTCAGTTGCAACTAATTCCCACAAAATCTATTTCCTTTAATTCAATATGCTAATCTAAACTCAAACCAAAAACAGTTGAGATTCAATTTACAATCATCCCTAACTGAATTTCAATCAACTAATCCAAAAAAATAATTTCCTTTACACAAACTTAGCTTCAGCTTTGACTAAAAAATATTCTTTCCCAAAACAATAAAAAGCTACATAAAATAAGACTAACCGGCGTCGCTTTGAGAGGCGCACACCTTCAGCGGAAGGCCATCGAAGACCTACAAGATGATTTTCAAGAAACTGCGGATGAAATTAAAACCGATGGGGTCGTAAAGGTATTTGTGGAAGGCGAGATCTAAAGAGAGGAGAAGTTGCTCTAGAAATTGCAGATCGGGGAGCGAAAGGAAGTTAATAATAAAAAGACAGTAATTTTACGTCGTTTTTATATGTTTTTCTTGTTTCACTGGGTATCTTAGGGCAAACTATACAGATAGTCACTTATATTTGTAGTATATTTTAATTAGGTCATTGATTTTACATAAGTAGCATTCTGGTCACTAAGTTTTTAGGCTTATAACATTTTGATTATGGGTTTTTAACTCATGTTACCCTATTAACAAAATCCTGACTCGACATCCTAAAAAATTAAATAAAATCTCATATGCTCTTGGTTGTTGCTCTGTGTTTGATGTTGAACTCTGAGACATGAGACATATTTGAAAGTTTAAACGTTACTTGGGAGCTGGGTTTAACATAGGTTGTGAATGAAACTGATAATAAGGAGGTTTTCAATCTTCTTTGCTAAGGCGATGCTAAGGAAAGAATTTCCCACATGGTTCCACACTTGATAGAGGCTTTTCACGTCAATGGTCTCTGAAGCTTACTTATGTTCCACGGGAAGGCAATCGTGTTTCTGATGTTGTGATTAAGCTGTCTTGGTCCTCATCGTTTGGTCTACACAACTTTGATCTCCCGCCTCCTAAAGTTCGTCCTCTACTAGGTGAAGTGTCGGGTTCTAATATTAAAATCTAGCTGATTTATTATTCCTTTGTATTAAAAAAAGAAATATTGATCGTTCATTACTTTTGCTAAATATCATTTATTGATTCATTTAATTTTTTTCTTATGTCTTTTCTTATGTCTCGCCAATTGATTATTGAAGTTGAATATTTTTTTTTACTTTTATTTGTTTATCATTATTTTAAGTTTTTATTCTAGATCATCTTCAATCTAGCGAATATCACTCTTAAGTCCGTCAATTCATACTTAATGCATCAATCACGACCTTAATTAATACAACCATAATCTTTAAGCAACTTAATTCATCTATTTTATCTTAAATTTAGCTCTTTCTATGTGAGCAAATATTTGAAAATCTTGTGAGCAGTGTAGATGTAACACTTCTCTCCATATAGGTAGTGTCTGTAAATCTTCAACGTGAATTCTATTATTGTCAACTCTAAATCACGAGTAGTACAATTTTACTCATATGACTTAAAATTGATTTGAAGCATAAGTCAATATATTGCCCTCTCATATGAGCACACACCTGAGTCCAATAAAAGATGTGTCGCTAAAGACAACATAATCCTTCTTAGAATCTAACTGAATCCAAAATAGAGCCGCTATTATCAAGGTTTTAAGTTATTCAAAATTATGTTGGTGTTTCTCCTTTCACTTAAAATGAACTCAATTTTGTAATAATTTAGCCTATGGGTGTAACACCCCAACCCGTATTCGACCCGAATACGGGTCCGAGATGTCACATTACTCTTTCAAATCATGTACTTATTTAAAATAGAGGAAAAAATTTAGACATACTACATAATTTACATATATTAACTCAAAAATTTAACAAACTGGTCAGAGTTTATACAATTTACTCTTTTAAATACATGCCAACACTACATAATACAAAAGGGAAACCTACTGTAAATATTTCTGATCTGATATTTGCTGAAGTTTTGCTATCTCCACCGCCTATCTTCTCTTTAGAACTTCTCAGATCCTACTTGTGAAACACTCACACGCTAAGTCACGGACTTAGTGAGACATATAAACAATTAATAGCATTATAACTACTTAATAAATACATGTACATATCATGTAACACAATGCTTGTATACACACATAGATCATCATTAACATGCTTATCATTACTTATATTATTATCACAAATTCCTTTTTATCATATGAGCATGTACTTAACATTTATATACACATTATAGAACACATATATCATTTCATAAAAGAGCACACATAGTATTATACCAATTGATTTATTTATTCTCTTTAAAGCCCATGTATACTTCTGAGAACTTAAGGTACGTGAGTACATAGAAGTTATGCACATATGCTGTCACCACAGCTCGTATAATTCCCACTAGGGGCACATAGGATTTGTCCCGAATGACCACTCCTTAAGGACCACATACATATTCCAATGGATCAAATAAGTGTACCGAAATACCGCATATATGTTCCAAAGGATTACATATATGTCCCGAAGGACCACGTAGAACCCTCGACTCTTGGCATGCCAACTATACCCCTAGCTCTCATAACACATAACATGGGCGTTATTATTTATATTTATCACACATTCACATATTCATATCACATAGGCATATAACTCATGGCTTCTTATCACATATCAAGCAATACTCTCATAAAGTCTCATGTCTTCTTATCATATATCTCATATCACATTTTCGTGTATTCATATAACATATAAAAACATAGCTTACTTTTATATCTCTCTTGTTATATGTCTTATCTCTTATGATCATATAGTCATATAATTTATTATCACATGATTCATAATTACCTAATTTATCACACATACATGCATTCACCTAGATCACATATAAAGATGCACTTAAACTCTTGACATATACATGTACTTATATACACATGAACATCATAACACTACATGCTTGTATCCTTGTACTCATATAATCTAATATCATAATTAGAGTTATCACAAGTCTTAATTCCCTAACATAACTTACACTGAATATCATGTACTCACCTTTGGTTCACTTGTCAATACCAATCTCTTGTTCTCCCTCGAATCTTACTCTGACGGCCTATCCGAACTTTGTTTTCAATCGATATCTACACGAATATAATCCAATGAATATTGGGATTTGAATTACATGACAAGATTCATATCAAAGCAAACTAAATAAAACACTAATTTCCACTTTCCAACTTAAGTAGTATCGGTACTACCAGCACAGTACCGATATTTATATGATAGGTTACCGATACTTATCTCCGGTATCGATACCAATATTAGATTCGATGTTGCCTGGTATCGATACCCTTATCGTGGTATCGATACTACTACACTATGGTATCAATACCTCCCCACTGGTATCGATACCCCTAGTATCGATACTATCACTTAAATACCGATACCTCATGAAGATTTATTACTCTTTTCCTTATGGTATCAATACTGTTCATGCAATATCGATACCCTACATAAAATTTTCCCATTATTTTCCTTGTAGTATCGGTACTCACTTAACCAGTACCGATACTACTAACCCATAATCTATTTCTTAAACCCAAAAATTCCAACACTTTACCATAAACTCTACTTATTTGGCTCTCTTCATGCTTTTAAACTCAACTATACATACTGAAACCATCATATATCACAATAACACCTCATCATCATTAATAACTCACTTTAACTCTTGAATTTAAGAATTTTTACTAAACTTTCCATGTGTTCTAATTTCATTTCTAATGCTTTAAACTTCTTAATCCTTCTAATGACAAGTCAAATTTATCAATAGAACTTCAAAAACCCCTTCATACCAACAATTCATTTCTACACCCTTATTACAGTTCCCTTTTTAATTCTATTATCTTGATGTTTTAATCTTATATAAGCTTTCCTTAAGCTTATATATCATCCAAAGAATAAAACCCAACTTAAAAACCCAAGAATTAAACAACTAAAATTAAACTCATCTTTGAGTTGAAGCTAACCTAAAGAAGAAAGCAAGAAGAAAAGAGCTTCCAGATAACTCTCCCCAAAATCCCTTATGTTTATCTCTTAATAATGGGAAATATACTTTAAGAGAAAAATACCATAATACCCTTTCATTCTTTCCATAATTACCATTTAATCCAATACTAAGATATCATATTTAAGTCCTTTAACTTTTCAATTTTTCCACAATTGGTCAATAAATTTCAAAAACTTTCATTTTAGTTACTAACTCGGTTTTTGGAATGTTACAATGGGCCTGCAATCGTTAAAAATCCTTGAGCAAAGAGAAATTAATTTTATATTGGAAAAGAGATGTTTTTGGTTGTATATGGGTAAATAGGGGTGTTCAAATTTGTGTACTCGTATTTTTTGGTACCCAAAATATCGAGTATCTGGGATATTAAGTACTAAAATATCAGTCTGTATTCCGGTCTGTTAAGTCTAGGTACCTATAAATCGAGTACTCATAAAACCTGAGTATCCATATTTTTTGGTCACAGGTACTCGGTTTATATATACATAAAAAATCTAATATTTTTTTGAATTCTATTATTTTTAAGAAAAGTTACATAAAAAATCTACAATTGAAAGTTTATAATATATAAATAACTCATAAAATTTAAAAATTTAATTACACAATTAAAAAAATAAAACTTATTAAATATAAAACTAAATAAATATACTTATATTTAAAATATTTTCAAGTTAAAAAATTAGATTGTTAAGGTGAAATAATTTAAAAATTAATAATTTAGAATGTTGGGGAAAAATAATTTAAGAAATTTGGAATGTTAAGATGAAATAATTTTAGAATTAGGAATATAAAATATAATATTAAATAAATAAATAAATATAAGAAATCGGGTATCGGGTTGATGGGTACCCAATTAAACATTATTTTATGACTTGGGCTCGACTCGAAAACCCACCAAAAAAAATGTAGGATACTTGACCCAAAAATCCAAGTATTTTTACTATAAATACCTGATAATTTTAGACCGGGTCGAAAGAAATGGGTCAAATCATTCGTATCGGATATTTTTTAACACACATATGAGCTACGTAATAAACTCTGAACTCCTCACTAATAACTCATCACATTTAGCTTTTTTGCTTGTATATACTATAGAGTGTTTAAGCATGTTTTTAGTGACTTAAGATCTTGTAGATCATTATGTAAGATATGATAAAATGGTGTATAATGGCCCTTGTTGACTATGAGAAGCTTTATGTAACACCCCTAACCCGTACCCGACCCATATACGAATCCGAGGTGTCATATTGACTTTTCAAAACACATGTAATTAACAATTAGAAACAAATTAAAATTTTTAATTACAATACAAAGTATAAACCTTAAAATAAATAAGAAAATGATTTCGCATTAATATTTACATAAAACTTTGATATTATATAGAAATACAAAATATATGAGTTTGCAAAATAGATCAGAGCATTTCCAAATTAAACGCTTGATACATTCCAACAGTTACAATATTACAAAACACCTACATTTAATTTATTCTGATCTAATCTTCAAAGGTGTATACTATCCACGCTAACTTCACTCTTATGCTTTCTTTAAACCTACGTGTGAGAAAAATCACAAGCTAAGTCAATGAATTAGTGAGGCAATACAATAGTGCTAACTTAGTAAACAAAATCTTTTTTGTTTTATTCAAAATGTTTTACAAAGTACTCTCATTATTTTTCATATCAAAAGTATACTTATGAATAGTTTCACTTTGTATATCTTTGTTCCAAATGCCCAAGGTATACTACTGAGAATGCTTGGTATTTGAGTAGATTGAGGTTGTGCACTAATGCTATCACCACAGCTCGTAATTTGTACCGAAGTGCCATATAATTGTGCCGAAGGACCACATAGGTTTGCATTAAAGTGACATATAAGTTTGCACCGAAGTGCCACATATTTCTCCCGAAGGACCACATAATTATCCCGAAGGACCACATAAAACCCTCGACTCTTGGCATGTCAACTATACCTCTAATCCTCATACATATACTTTGGGCTATTAATCACATAATTATGTTCAGTCATTATTCGAAGTGTTTCTTATTCACATAGTATCTCTCTCATAGAGTCTTTTCACATTCACTTTTTCAAAGTTCATATTTCCATAATCCTGTAATCATAAAACTTAGCTCGTATAATATGAATTGAATAAAACATTGCAATATAACAATAAATAAATTATAAAGTTTTCGATCGAAAACACTGAGGTTGGCTTATCGTAAGCCTTCCACCATTCTTTTAAAAAATCGAGAAGTTGCACTCACCTTTGCCTCACTGAATCCTTAATCCTTTCGAATTGGTACAAAATATGTCAAGCTGACCAAAAGTCAATTACGTTAAATCACTAAACAAAACAAATCGAAATCAATATCGTTCTTTAAATCACTTAAATCCAATCAGAATAACTTGTGATCCAAGAAAATCTAAATTTCAATTTCATGCCTAGAAGTATCGATACCATCTATACAGTACTGATACTACCCTTCATGGGAATCAATACCTCCTCAAGGTACTGATACCGATTTGGCATTCTGAAATCGTATCTCAAAAATGGTATCGATACCATCCCCTGGTATCGATACTACCCTCACAATATCGATCCCATCCTTAACTGGTATCGATACCGCCCTCACAGTATCGATGCCCTCCTTAACTAGTATCGATAATACCTTTAAGAATTGCACGCATTATCCCCTGAAGTATCGGTACTGTTCTAACGGTACCGATACTGAAAGCCCATAATTGCCATTTTTACTTCGAAAATCACCCAAAAATCCTCTCAAATCTCTTATATCATCCTTCGCTAAGCCTTTAAACTAAACTTCTTTCATTCAAACCAACTTGTCATCAATTACTACTCTTAAACATACCAAATTTCACACAAAAACCTTATCCCTAAATTATACCATATTTTCAACCAAGTTGTTAATCGTTTCTAATACTCCTAACCCTTTAATTAGCTCATTTACAAGTCAAATATCTCATTAAAACTTCAAAAACTACTTCATATCAAAATTTCGTCTCAAACCCCATTTTACAAAATCCTTTCAAATTCACTTATCTCGTTGTTTTAATCCTATACAAGCTTTCCTTAAGCTTATGTAACACCCCAACTTCCATTATCAAACCAAAAATTAAAGTAAAACCACAAAATTTAGATTTTATCTTTATTGGTGGAGCTCACGTAGAAGAAGAAGAGAGCAAGGAATGAGTTTTCATATAACTCCCAAAACCTACATGTCAATCCACTAATATGAAAAGACCATATTGCCCTCTCCAATAAATCAAATTTTCCATCAAACCCTACACATAAATTCCACTATAAATCCTTGAATTTATCAAATTTTCTAATTCAACCACTGAGTTAAAAATTCTTACATTTTAACCACTAATCCGATAATTGGGATGTTACAAATCTCCCCTTAAGAAAATTCGTCCTCGAATTTTCATTGCACAAAAAGGTGGGGATATTGCTTCCTCATATCTTCTTCACACTCCCACGTAGCTTCTTCTACTTTATGATTTCTCCAAAGAACTTTAACTAGTGGAATCGTCTTATTCCACAACTGCTTGTTTTCAAAAGCTAAAATTTGCACCGATTCTTCCTCATATGTCAAGTTAGATTGAACTACTATTTCATCTGGAGTCATGATGTGTGTAGGATCTAATCGATATCGTCTAAGCATAGACACATGGAAGACATTGTGGATCTTTTCCATCTCTGTTGGCAACGCTAACTGATATGCCACAGGTCCAACTTTCTTCAAAACTTCTTAAAGTCCAATGAACCTAGCACTCAGTTTTCCTTTACAGCCAAAGCGAAGCACTTTCTTCCAAGGTGATACTTTCAAAAACACCTTATTACCTTCTTGAAATTCAATTTTTTTTCTTTTCAAATTGGCGTATAACTTTTGTTTGTCTGAGGCCACCTTCAAATTATGTTGAATCATTTGAACCTTTTTCTTCTACTTCTTTAATCAAGTATGGACCATGCACTTTCTGATCCCTTAACTCATACCAATTGAGTGTTGTTATGCAATTCCTTCCATATAATTCTTTATACGATATATCTCTTTTTAACTCGTTATCATAAGGAACACACACTCTATTTTTTAAATATAAACACCCATTCGACTTAACCTCGAAGTCCTTGAGTCCACCTTTCTCTCCTTGTTTGAACCAAGTTAAACACTTATCATCTTTCTTTTGTAATTCCTTAATCCGTTCTAACAATAATGCCTTCAACATTAACTCATCCATCAATGTACCATTTTTCTTGAGCACAATTCGAGCGTCTAAACTAGGCAAAGCGGTAAAAGTCTTCCGACTAAGAGCATCTGCTACTACGTTGGCTTTCTCGGGATAATAATCGATGATGCAATCATAATCTTTCAGCAACTCCATCCATATTTTTTTCCTCAATTTTAACTCCTTATGTGTCAACAAATACTTCAAACTTTTATGATCGGTGAAGATGTAACAACGTTCACCATATAAATAATGTAGCCAAATTTTCAATGCAAAGACCACAGCTGCCAACTCCAAATCATGCATCGGATAATTCTTTTCATGAGGCTTAAGCTATCTTGAAGCATAATCAACTACCTTCCCATCTTGCATTAAGACACTACCTTCTCATATTGCATTAAGACACATCCCAAACCATTATGGGAAGCATCACTGAAAATAGTAAAATCCTTGTTTGATTCTGGTTGCACTAACACCAGAGCTTCCGTCAGAACTTTCTTCAATGCTTCAAAGCTCTTCTAATAATCAAGAGTCTATTCAAAATGCACATCTTTTCTCAACAATTTGGTTAAAGGAAAAGATATCATAGAAAAGTTTTTGTCAAACCTTCAATAATAACCTGCGAAACCCAAGAAACTTCAAACTTCTAACACATTCTTTGAAATCTCCCAATCTAATACAAATTTAACTTTTTGAGGATCTACCCGAATTCCCTCTATAGAAATCATGTGTCCAAGGAAGACCACTTCAGATAACCAAAATTCACACTTAGAGAACTTTGCATAAAGCTTCTTGTCTCGCAACATTTGAAGAACTACATGAAGATGGACATCATGCTCCTCTCTTGACTTTGAATACACCAAGATTTCATCAATAAAGACAACCACAAACTGATCAAGATATGGTTGAAAAATTTTATTCATCAAGTCCATGAACGTTGCAGGTGCGTTAGTTAGACCGAATGACATTACTACAAATTCATAAATGTTGTTTTTGGAACATTTTTTCTTGAATCTTCAACTGATGATACCCTAAACGTAAATCAATATTTGAAAACATTGCAACTCCCTTGAGTTGATCAAATAAATCGTCTATCCTTGGAAGAAGATACTTGTTCTTTATGGTCACCTTATTAAGCTGACGATAATATATACAAAGGCACATCAAACCATCTTTCTTCTTTATGAATAACACTGGAGCACCCCAAGGTGACACACTAGGTGTAATGAATCCTTTATCTAAAAGCTCTTACAACTGAACCTTCAATTCCTACAACTCCTTCGAGGCCATCCTGTAAGGAGCCATTAAAATTGGTGTTGATTCTGACATCACATCAATCTGGAATTCAACCTCTATATCTGGAGGTAACCCAGGTAATTCCTCCGGAAATACTTTTGGAAACTCCCTGACTGTCGAAATATCTTCCAACTTATTTTCTTTGACTCTAGCATCAATTATATTAGCAATATACGATTGGCATCCTTGCAGCATTAACTTTCGAGCCAAAATCAATGATATTACATTAGTTAAAGGATTAATTCTTTCACTGACCACACTAACCTCTGATCCATCAAGACTTGTTAATTGAACTCGCTTAACTCTACAATCCACATTGGCATAATAATAATAAAGCCAATCCATACCAAGAATAACCTCGAACTCATCAAAGGGTAATTCTATTAGATTAATAGAGAATTTAATTCCCCTGAATCCATATGGGACACCCTCGACATACTTGTCTCACCCGAACACTATTTCCTAATGGATTAGTCACAATCATCTCACTACGAATAGGCTCTAACGGAATGCTCAAGTATTTGATAAATTTACTAAATAGATTTACCAGCTATCTAAAAAGTACCTACAATGATTTCAGGATCATCACAATCTTCACTGGTCTTCAAATTGTACACCCGAATGGTAGAGCATACTTCAGGTTGAGCGGTCGACTCAGATTGATTCCTTCCTCTTCCCTGACCTCTACCTCTCATCGGTGCAGCCGTGGATCTCTCTGTTTGGGCAGGCTCTCCCATCATCAATGGGCAATCTCGAATAAAATATCCTGCCTCTCCACATTTAAAGCAAGCTCCGGAGACCCTTCCACAAACTCCACTATGATTCTTTCCACAATGCTGACAATGTTTCGGCTTGTCCACTCCATATTCCACCGAATAAGCTTATCTTGCTCTTCCTAGATTTGATCCTCTATCTGAGGATATTGCAGATTCTGCTCTGATCTGAGGTCGAGAACTTGAACATCTACTCTTCTTTGATTGCGAAGAGAGGGACGATATACCAGATATATTATTCCATTGTGTCTTCTGCTCTGCAAATCTTTCATTATGAGCTCATTCCAGAGCTTTAACTCGATTCACAACCTCTTGAAAGGAAGAGAGGTTAAGTGCCAACAATAACTCTTTCAATTTGGGTTGTAAATCCTCCACAAACCAATCACAAGAGTCTTTCTCTATAGGGAGCAACTCGGCAGTAAATCGACTTAACTTATTGAATTCGCACTCGAACTCATACATTGTGCAATTCCCTTATTTCAAACTCATAAATTCTTGCTTCAAATATCGGATGAACTGATCCCCTACATATTTTTTCTTAAACTCCTCCAGAAAGAAGGGCTAAATCACCTGATCCTTTGAAGCTCTCATTGTCACATTCGACCACCAAATTCTGGCTAGACCTCTTAACAACGAAACTGCACCATCCAATTTATCCATTTCAGAACAATGGAGATTCTCTAACATAACCTTCAAGTGTTTGAGCCACATATCGGTGGCAACCGAACCTTCTTCAGCTTCTCCTCTAAATTCAGGCGCTCTTAGACTTCTCAGCTCTTTAGGGACATTCATCTTAGAGACTGAGGGAGAAAATGGTTGGAAACGCGTCATAATCGCGTCCAACTTCTGGAAGAAAGTCCCCTGATCTTGCAAAGGTACTCTCTGCTGTGCCTGCTCCTCACCCTTCCTGTTCAGGGCAGGTGAGTTACTATTATCTTCCATCCTGTCTCTCGCATCACTTCGGGAGCCTTTAAAGTTCAACATCTATTAAGATCAATTTACTAAAGGTATTAGCAAGGATATCATATTAATCCCTTATTAGATCAGAAAGACTTTATTAAAAGTTGGCACGTACAATTTTTAAAACCAAAAATGACTTTATTTCGAACTTAAAACCACTTAAATCATAGCTCTGATACCATTAAATGTAACACCCCTAACATGTACCTGACCCGGATACGAATCCGAGGTGTCATATTGACTTTTCAAAACACATGTAATTAACAGTTAGGAACAAATTAAAATTTTTAATTACAATACAAAGTATAAACCTTAAATTAAAAAAGAAAATCATTTCACATTCATATTTACATAAAACTTTGATATTATATAGAAATACAAAAATATATGAGTTTACAAAATAGATCAGAGCATTTCCAAATTAAACGCTTAATACATGCCAACAGTTACAAATATTACAAAACACCTACATTTAATTTATTCTGATATGATCTTCAAAGGTGTATGTTATCCACTCTAACTTCAATCTTCTTCTTTCTTTAAACCTACGTGTGAGAAAAATCACACGCTAAGTCGATGACTTAGTGAGGCAATACAATAGTGCTAACTTAGTAAATAAAATCTTATTTGTTTTATTCAAAATGTTTTACAAAGAACTCCCATTATTTTTCATATCAAAAGTATACTTATGAATAGTTTCATTTCGTATATCTTTGTTCCAAATGCCCAAGGTATACTATTGAGAACTCTAGGTATTTGAGTACATTGAGGTTGTGCACTAATGCTGTCACCACAGCTCGTAATTTGCGCCGAAGTACCACATAATTGTCCTGAAGGACCACATAGGTTTGCACTGAAGTGCCACATATTTTTCCCGAATGACCACATAATTGTCTCGAAGGACCACATAAAACCCTCGACTCTTGGCATACTAATTATACCTCTAATCCTTATACATATACTTTGGGCTATTAATCATATAATTATGCTCAGTCATTATTCGAAGTGTTTCTTATTCACATAGTATCTCTCTCATAGAGTCTTATCACATTCACTTGTTCAAAGTTCACATTTCCATAATCATGTAATCATAAAACATAGCTCGTATAATATGAATTGAATAAAACATTGCAATATAACAATAAAGAAATTATAAAGTTTTCGATCGAAAACACTAAGGTTGGTTTATCGCATGCCTTCCTCAATTCTTTTACAAAAATGAGAAGTTGCACTCACCTTTGCCTCACTGAATACCTAAGCGAAATCCTTAATCCTTTCAAATTGATACTTAATATATCGAGCTGACCGAAAGTCGATTACGTTCAATCACTACACAAAAAAAATTAAAATCAATATCGTTATTCAAATTGCTTAAATCCAATCAAAATAACTTGTGATGTAAGAAACTCTAAATTTCCATTTCATGCCTAGAAGTATTGATACTAGCATCTATATAGTACCGATACTACCCTTCATGGGTATCGATACCTCCTCAAGGTACTGATACCAATTTGGCATTCTGAAAACATATCTAAAAAATGTTATCGATACCATCCCCTGGTATCGATACTACCCTCACAATATCGATACCCTCCTCAACTAGTATCGATACTACCTTTAACAAATGCACGTATTATCCCTTAAAGTATCGGTACTGTTATAACGGTACGGATACTCAAAGCCCAGAATTACCATTTTTACTTCGAAAATCACCCAAAAATCCTCTCAAATCTCTTATATCATCCTTCACTAAGCCTTTAAACTAAACTTATTTCATTCAAACTAACTTGTCATTAATTACTACTCTTAAACATACCAATTTTCACACAAAAACCTTATCCCTAAAATTATACCATCTTTTCAACTAAGCTCTTAATAATTTCTAATACTCCTAACCCTTTAATTAGCTCATTAACGAGTCAAATATCTCATTAAAACTTCAAAAACTACTTCATATCAAAATTTCATCTCAAAACCCATTTTACAAAATCATTTCAAATACACTTATCTTGTTGTTTTAATCTTATATAAGCTTTCCTTAAGCTTATTTAACACCCCAACTTCCATTACCAAACCAAAAATTAAAGTAAAACCATAAAACTCATATTCTTACCTTTATAGATGGAA